GGTGTGTCAGGCAAAGAAAGGCAGATGGAAAAATGCCTGATATCTGTGGAAAGCTTGGAAGAGACGTTGATCTGCTTGCAGTCTAGCTGGCAAGTTTCTTGTATTTCAAGTGTTTCTAGATTCTGCCATTGTTTTAGTGTCTACTTTTTCTTTGTGAATTTTTTGCAGACTTTCCATTCTGTTCTGTGGATCGGTCTTTCTGTTTTCATTTTTACTACCAAACAGCTTTAATTACTGATTTTTAAAAATCATTTTAACATCTGTTGTATGAAGGCCCTTCATTAGTCTTACTCAGACTTTTCCTGGGTTTTCTTGTATGTTTAATCAGATGGAGGGCCTAAGGCTTATCTTCTGAAATCTGTTTTTCTTTCCTGTTCCAAAAATTTTAATGAATTTTATTGTGCTGATGTTAACTTTGTAGATTCATTTAGGGGAAGCTGGCATCTAAAAGAAGTGCCAGAAAGAATGGGTTTTTCTCCACTTAATCAAATACATATAGTTCCTCAGTTTTATGGACTTTTTTTCACGTGTATATGGTCAATGTTTTGTACATTTTTTCCTACCCATTTGTGGTTGTGAGTGACATAGTTTTTCTATTATGTTTTTTCGATAACTGTTTTTTGATATGTAGGGAGGTTATGAAATATAACTGATTTTGGAATAAGTCTCTTTTGTTATTGTTGTTCAGCTGCTAAGTCATGTCTGGCTCTTTGCGACCCCATGGACTGCAGCATGCAAGGCTTCCCTGTCCTTCACTATCTCCTGGAGTTTGCCAAACTCATGTTCACTGAGCTGGTGATGCTGTCCAACCATCTCATCCTCTGTCACCCTCTTCTCCTCCTGCCCTCAATCTTTCCCAGCATCAGGGTCTTTTCCAATGAGCTTAATAAATAAGAAACAGGAGGAAACTTCCATGACATGATGAAAAGAAAAGAGAGAGAAAAAAAAAGAATTCCATGTCTCCTTACTGAATTCTTTTTTCTCTCTCTCTTTTCTTTTTATCATGTCATGGAAGTTTCCCCCTATTTCATATTTATTAAGCTCCTTCTTTCTTCTTCTTTTTTTCCCTCCTAATCAGAAATGGATGTTGCATGTCGCCAGAAGACTTTCTAGCAACAATTGAAATGGTATTTTTTCTTTTGATCTATGATGTATTATGAAAATGATAAATTACGTAAGTGACCTTAATATTTAGTCATCCTTTTGTTCTTTGGTCAGGCACATTACTCTTTTAACGTAATGCTGAATTTCAGCCATGTGTATTACAAGGCTATCTGAATCCTAAACATTTGTATCTCAGTAACAGTTTCACTGTCAAGGGATGTCTGAGAGCTCATCTCTCCTGTCTCTTCATCCTCTTGTACTCGGCTGCTCCTCGGGGACAGAGCTTCCGCCGGCTGGGTAGCTGAGGGCACAGATATCATCAGAGATGTTTGGTCAAAAGGGACCTTGCTCAGACTTCCCTGGTGGTCCAGTCGTTAAGATTCTGTGCTTCCAATGCTGGGGGTGTGGGTTCCAGCCCTGGCTGGAGAACTAAGATCCCACATGCTGCATGATGCAGCTAAATTTTTTTTTTTTTTTTTAAGGTAGAAACCTTGCAGAATTTCTCCCAAGGAAGACACTAGATGGCCAGTGCTTGGCAGGGAGAGTGAGGACCATCAGAGTTGGGTGGATGAGAGCCTGAGCCTGAGGGAGGGGCCCTGAGCTGCTCTGGACACTCGGGTTTGCTGAGAGGGTTGGGATGCATCGACAGCAGAACTCAGCCCCTCCTCTCCAGAAATGGAAAACCATGTCTAAAGAACATTAAAAATCACTCGAGCAAAGTGCTTGGAAGCAGTGCGCAGGTATCAGCCTGCCCTGGGGATTCCTCATGTCTTTTTGGCCAAGTCTGGAGCTGACTCGAGAGAGGAACAATTTGGAAGGTCTGGGGTGGGATTTGGCTCCAGGTCACATTTGTCCCTTTCTGCTGCTCTCTGGGGGAAGGTGGGCCTAAGTAATGGTGAACCTCAGCATGGTCAGCCTCGGAAATAAGTGATTTCTGCAAAGCAGCCTTTGGGGCATTCATGTCCAGTAATCAGCCAGCTCGTCCACACCCCTTGGGATGCATATCAGGGCTTTTACTGCTTGACCAGGAGAGGAACGCCACTCACTGGATCCACCTGGACCCTGAAGTGCGGACGAAGCAGTGGTTCCGGCTGGGGGCTCCGTGGAGCCTGCTGGGGTGTCCTGAGGAGCCCATGGGGCAGAGATGGGAGGCAGAGTTCTTCAAAGTGAAGAGTGCTACCAACACCAGCCCCTGTTGTGGGCACTGGTCTAAAGTGCATTTCAGACCAGGGCTTGGCAGCCTTTTCTGTACGTGCCGGCCAGTGTCTTGGCTTCGGCCAGATGTGCAGAAAGAAGCCATGCCTCGTGACCCTGCACCATCCCCTCCTCTCTGCTCATGGCCCCTTACAGAGCAGTTTTGGCCTCTGGGTCACATTGCCAGTTCCTTTTCTAGATGACCTGGGAGGCTTAAGATGTTTCCCTTTGCCTCTGAGTGACTGGTGAAGCTAAGATGTCAATCTCTTCCCACTAGGAAGGACCCTTCTTGGCCATAGTTCTACTCAAAGCTTCCAGGAAGAGAGGGAGAGTTCACCTTCTCCAGCTCGAGGCATCCTGAATGTTCCTCCCTTCAATAGGAATGAGTAATTCCTTTTGGATCAAACTTCAGAAGACAACATTTGATGCATGACAGTGGATACATTTTTTTTTTTTTTTAATTTGGGGCATTGCAATAGCAATTGGCAGAAACCATTTTTGGCTGCATAGGTAAGAATTTAAGACGCTGCTCCTAGGGCATCACCATTTGCATGGTGATACTGGTTCTGGCACAAAGAATAGAGTAGAACGTGATTCCTGGCAGGCTGCCTGCCTGGACTTCATTAACCCGGGCGTGCCTGCCATCCTCTCTCGTTGCAGCGACAGAAGCCTGCGGTGTCCTTTGCAGATGTAGAATCATCAGGGACTGGCCAGGACAGATAATGATGCTGGGTATTCGTCTCCGAGCAACCTGACCTACATTTGGAAGAAGCGGCAGATTCACTGCCGGGTTCAGTCTGCTGCATGCTCATGCATCACAGTCCTGTCTGCTTTTCACCTAGAGAATCTACCACGTAGAGATGACACATGATCAATCAAGAAACCATTTTACATGCCTAGCCTGGGAGGTTACAGACAGTAGATACTCAGTAAATGTGAATTCCCTCTGCTTTAAAGATCACCCCCTATTGAAGAGGCATTCCCTGCAAAAGCCTGCCTTGCCCAGACCCCAGGACCTGGAGGAGTCTGATTCATCAGTCAATGCCAAGATAAGCAGAGCCAACCTTACAGGCAAAGCCACAACTATGCTCCGTGTAGGCTAGGGCTTTGCCTGTGTGTGTGACCATTACTTGCCTGAAGATATTTAAGTCTTAGGTGGTGGTATGGCAGAGAGCAAGAGTGAGGTCTCACAACAAATGTATCCCATTTAGTCTGCCTGAGAAGTTTGGCTTCTGAAGTTTTTGCCCAGAATTTGGAGAATTTAATCAATCTGCAATCAGGATTTGCTTGGAGGTGATTTCTAAGGGTTCACTGCTGCTTCTTTGGTGCTTAAAGTGGTGGTCTGGTGTTAGCAGTAAACTGTCTTGGATGATTGAACTTCAACAAATGGTAGAATGCTCCATAGTAATCTTTTACTAAGTAGTCCAGGCAGATCACTGATTCAATGGACATGAACTTGGGCAAACTCTGGGAGATGGTGAGGACAGGGAAGTCTGGTGTGCTGCAGTCCATGGGGTCGCAAAGAGTCGGACATGGCTTGGTGACTGGACAACAACCAAGCAGGTCCTTTTGAAATGAGCACGACTCAGAGCATTCATGCTCCGTGTCACGAGATGGCATCACGCAGTGACCAACAACAGGCTCTGGGGTGGGTCATGAGGCCCAAATTTTGGTTCATCACTTCCCAGTCTGGGGACTCAGACAATTTATCTACCCTGGTTTTGCCTCAGTTTCCTGATTTGTTAGTCATAGGTGATGGTAGCACTTATATGCTACAGGGTTGTTTGCAGATTAAATCAACTAATATAAATAGACTGCTTAGAACAGGGCCTGGTAGATACAAGTGTTGGCTACCTTGCAATCTTGGTTTAATTCATAACTGATAAGTCAGCAATATAATCAGACATTTTCCCAATAAATAGACATCCTAATTTTCCTTATGGGGATCTCCTTCTCCCTATGAACTGTGATTTACACAGTGAAACGGTATTGTAAGTAAAAATCCAAGCCTTATTGTTTTCACTCATATCTAAGCATTTCCCCAAAGTATAAAAGTTAGTTATAAACGTAATTTTTAATGACTGCATAATGTGATCATATGGACTAGCCATAATTTGTGATACACTTTCTTAGTGTTGAACATTTTGGTTGCTTCCTGCTGCCGGGTGGATGGTGGGGGCACCAGACCCCAATGAATGTATAACCATTTCTATATTCTCTTTTCTCAGTGTCTCCTTATTCTTAGGTTAGATTTCCAGAAATAAAATCAATGGGTCAAAGGGATAGATATTTTTAAGGCCCTTGATAAATATTAACAAACGGCTCTCCCAGATCGTTTATAATTAAACTCCCACAATGACGTAGGCAAGTTATTCCTATGAGAATCATCCCCTTGGGCCTCTCAGTATGAAACACGATACCGGACTAACGGACAAAGAGAACCCTGGAGAGATCTTGGAATAGGAATCATTTTAAAGTTCGTTGGACAATCTTTTGTGATTAGCAACAACAACAAGGCAAAAGCCAGATCTAATTTTGACCCAGCATGGGCGGAAGAGTGCCTGAGTTGTTCAGGCTCTGATACCAGCATGAATTTTTCTCTCCTGTGTCAGCGAGAGCTTGATGCTGATGTCCGGTATTGGGTGGTGAAATGGCCAGGCCTGCGGAAGGCTGAGCCTTGACCCTCTCTCCCCTCCCGCCAGCTATACCGTGGGCACCGTCCAGGAGAACAACGACCAGGTCTGGAAGTTCCAGAGGTACTTCCTGGTGCAGGAATACTGCAGCCGCCTCAACATCCCGTTCCCCTTCGTGGTCTTCGCCTACTTCTACAGGGTGGTCAAGAACTGCTTCCGGTGCTGCTGCAAAGAGAGGAGCACGGAGCCCTCCGTCTGCTGTGAGTGGCTCAGCCCTTGTGCTGGGGCCCAGGGGTGGGGGTTCGTTTCTGGGAGGGTGTCTGGTCCACATCTCCACTGGTGGGGTTAGCGACAGTTATTTCAGCACTCACAGGGGTGTGTCCTGAGGCTTCTCTGATGGCCCAGTGGTTGAGACTGAGCTCCCAAGGCCGCGGGGCATGAGTTTGATCCCTAGTCGGAGAACTGAGATCACATATGCCACACAACCGGAAAAAAAAAAAAGGTGTTCATCTGTGAAGGTCAGGCATCAAGCCCCCCCCCCAGTGACTTATTCAGGAGGGAGAGTAGATTAAGAAAGACAGCTACATCTGCTGGGACAGCCTTGTTACAGGGGGCTCGCTTTTGGATGGACATCATAAGGGTGTAAGTAGGATGTTGAACAGACACGATGGGTGTCAGAATATGACTTGGTTCTTGCTCTCTGTTGCCTCCATGACATTTATTCCCTGGGAGATCTTAGGTCTGATTCTAGCAAGGCTCATTGTTGTAGAAACCAGTACTCGAGAAACCAACCACCACACTTGGAGAGTTGGAGAATTCAGGTTTATTGCACCGGCAGGCCCAGAGGAGTTAACGCGCCAATCTCCTAGCCCCGAAGAAAGAGATTATAGAGTTTTTATAGACAGGCTGTAGCGGGCAACACTAGCTGTTAATAGGCTAGTTTAAACTAAGGGGTTTCACGCGTGTGGGAATAGCAGTCAAGATGGGGAGGGGGATGCCTGGCCTGGACAGGCATGATCAAGCTGGTTTGCAGGGGATGGGCAATTGCAAAGAGCAGGACAAGGGTGAGTGAGAAACTCCAGTCCCTAGTATTGCAAGTCCCCACTTTCTGAGACTACGTGACCTACGTGATCTAGACTTTGCAAGGGTCAAGCTGAGTTACAGAGGCAGAAGGAGAAGGAAGTTATGTCAAATTTTAACTTTTCCTCTTCATTCATAACTTTTCTGGTGGTTCTTAGAGAAAATCTTCCCATGATCTTACTTGGCAAAAGAATCTCAGTTTAGGAATTGGGACCCGGAGTCCAATAGATGAACCAGCCCGCTCGCCATCTTCCAGAGGGGAGGCTCCCCTTAGCACCCCTTCTCAGCCAGTGGATTCATCAGGAAGGGTGGGCCACCGGCTTTCCTCTCTCCTCGCCTCCTACCCACTCGCTCACTAGCTGCCCTGACTGACCTTCTGTGGGTTGAAGAGCAGGAGAAGGGAGAGGAAAGAGCGGAAACCCTCTGTGGAAACAGTGGCGCTGCCCTGGGCTGGCTCTGTGCTCCCTGGCCTGTGCGTGATTCCAGCTGACCCGCGATCGTGTGGCGCGTGGTGGGTCCTTCAGCTGAACCCTGCCTGACCCCTTCACACCAACCACCACTCCTGGGGTCTGGCAATGCTTTCTCTGGGGGCTGCTCCCCGACCTGAGCCTCTGGCCTCCAGGGGTGTCTTCTGCACTCTCCCTGCTGCCAACCCACACTGCCTTCCGGAAGGCAGGATCCACATGGCCGTGGGGTTTGCGCGCTCTCTCTCTCTCTCGCATGCTTGCCCACTGACTCAGCCCTGTTAGACGTCGGGCAGGCAGTTCCCCACCAGCCCCTCTCCTCGCCCCGACTGTGGGAGTTGGACTCTCTGACCCCTGACGCTCGGTCACACCTGGTTCCACCATCTTTTTGGCTGCAGGGAACCCACATCCATCTCTCTCCCCCGAGACCCGAGGGTTTCCTAATGCCCCTTCCTGGAGCCACTGAGATGGGCAGTCTTCCTCACCCACAAATGTGCTTCTACCAGATTCAGCCCAAGGGAGAGAGAGGCCTATTTTCATTCCTCCGGATGTTTGGACACAAAGAGTTGGAAAGAGCACCACTGGCTCCTGTAGCTTGTCCTCTAGACTCAGGCTTAAGCTGGCGGCTCCATCTCTGGGTGGGCGTGGGGCACAGCTGCAGGGCAGGCGTCTGCACATTGACGGGGCCCAGACCCTTTGGGGTCCACACAGATCTTTCCATTTCTTTTAAAAGCCAGAAGGAAAAGAAAGAATTTTTAGGTGATAGAAAATCTATTGGTATATGCGTGGGAAGCCACCACTTCCCTGGCGGCTCAGACAGTAAAGCATCTGCCTACAGTGAGGGAGACCTGGGTTCGATCCCTGAATTGGGAGGATCCCCTGGAGAAGGAAATGGCAACCCACTCCAGTACTCTTGCCTGGAAAATCCCATGGACAGAGTAGCCTGGTAGGCTACAGTCCGTGTGGTCGCAAAGAGTCGGACATGACTGAGCGACTTTACTTACTTACTTTTGGAGAGAGAAGTGCAGTATGGGTGAATCACAGATAATAACAGCAATGGCTGCCATGTATTAGGTGCTTACTGTGCAGGCAATGCGAAACCCTTTACCTGCAGCCACTCAATCCTCCAGACACTGTGAGAGCTGGATGTTACTTCCCCCATTTCGCACACGAATTTCATGGAGGTTCAGTCCAACACCCTTAGGTCAGTGAGCAGAGATGCTGTAANGCAGAGTTGGACACGGCTGAGTGACTAAGAATGCACGACTACCATCATGGGATTCATGTTCCATTTTGGGCCAGTCATTCATGTCTTTCTAATATATCCCAAATATTTTGATGATTCAGAAAGTAAAAACATGAATTTTACTAACCTAGATATGATAACTGGCTGTAATTAAGAAAAATTTAATTTGCCAAGAACCATCACTTTTTGTTTGATTCCTGCAAAGAAAAATGCAGGAAAGATACTCAGGAATATGACCTTCAATATTGTTCATAATTTGCTTCTGTGTTACCCCTGCAGCCATGATCCCCTAAAATCTGGCTTTCAGAATGTAAATGTACAACGACCCCCATCTCATGTCACAGTTTAAACAATCTTCATGGTCGGCTCTTTTAACAGCATTATTTCAAGATGTTAAATGTCACTTTGGGGATGTCATTAGCAATCATATGTATGTAATTGCCTTTCCTAAAGAGGAAAAGTGTTTTGACAATTTGGATAAGTTGCTGTCTTTCTCCTCATTGTTTTGCTGTGGAAGACAGAATGAATCATTTCTAACCAAAAGAATGAGAAGTCTTTATATCAGGGATGGGAATTGAAAGCTGAGACCTGGAATTTGTACTCAAAGACTATACCCAAAGATCAGAGGAGTGTCATGAAGAGTCTCAGATCTACCTTTGAGTCTGTTTTGAAGCCGTGTCATAGATGAATGACTGTAGAAGCTGTGGGAGGGCTCAGGGGACCAAACCAAGCCTGCAGACTTGGGGGCAAATGCAAAGTAAATTTAGGAAATGTGTTGCCAACTAGAGTCTTTGGTAACAAGTTTCGTGCTTCTTCCTGAAGTTACAGAGAAAAAAAGAAATGATGGAGAAATGGTGTGGGGAGGAAGGCTTGATGAAGTATAAAGGAAAGTGAAAATGAAAGTAAAAGTGGCTCAGTTGTGTCAGACTTTCTGTGACTCCCTGGACTATACAGTCCTTGGAATTCTCCAGGCCACCATACTGGGTAGCCTTTCCCTTCTCCCGGGGATCTTCCCATCCCAGAGATTGAACCCAGTTTCTCCCTCATTGCAGGTGGATTCTTTACCAGTTGAGCCACAGGGGAAGCCCAAGAATACTGGAGTGTGTAATCTATCCCTTCTCAGGGAATCTTCACCACCCAGGAATCAAACCAGGGTCTCCTGCATTGCAGGCAGATTCTTTACCAGCTGAGCTATAAAAAGCCATGTCTAACAGTTAGGCCTGTCTGGAAATGATGTGGTACCTTGTGAGGTAGGGAATTCCCCATCACCAGTGGGATTCCAGTTGGGGGTGGGGAGGCAGAGGGGCTACATGGGAGGAAGGTCCACTCTCCAGTCCAGAATCAATAGAATCGGGAGACATGATGTATGGGTGAGGACAAATCAGTCCTTTGGATTTAGAATGGGTTAAGAAGTCAGGAATAAGTGCAGATCTCCTCCCCAAACTCATTTGTGATTAAGCATAATAAGAACATAAATGTAGAAAACAGACATGTGGACACCGGGGGTTGAGGAAGGTGAGGGTGGGGTGAATTGGGAGATGACCTGTCTGGTGGTCTCCCATTCCCATTCCATTTCTGTATCCCTTCCTGAGACTAAGAACTGTCTGGAGAGAGCATCGTTGGCTCACTGTTTCTCCAATGGTGGTGAGCCCTTCAAGGAAACAGGTACAGAATAACATGGCTCATTTCTGACTTGTTTGCTTTCTCTAATTGAAGCTCCTGTCCACTCACTGGCCACGTTCGTGGATTTGTTTTCATTAATTAATTAATTTTTTTATTGGGGTGTAATTGCTTTACAATGCTGTGTTGGTTTCTTAGTGAGCACATACACACTACCGTGTGTAAAATAGAAAACTAGTGGATAACCTGCTACAAAGCCCAGGAAGCTAATTCAGTGNGACAGTTCTTAGTCTCAGGAAGGAATAAAGAGTGGGGCGGGGGGGATGGGAGGTGGAGGACAGGATCCTCCAGCCACTGTGCAGTGATGACAGGAGACAGGGAGCCAAGAGCTGTTTACTCCCTGGTGATCCTGGGGCATCTGGTCACCACCTGCCCTTCTGTCTCTCCTTCGGGATGGCTAATTCCTGAGCCTCAGCATTCTGCGGTCGTTGACTCCTCTCACGGTATTGATTTCCTTCCTACGCTTACTTTACATTTGCCTCCAGTGATAGGAGAATCATGGAGTTTAAGCTTCACATGGCCCTTCTTTAGAAAAAAATGCAAGATTTTTCAAATAACTTTTCAGAAAAGGTAGAATCCAAGCATCCCTGTTTAGTACTTTTTGGGCGATGCTTTCAAGTGATAGTAAAAGATATGCTACCCAGTGATTACAGTTTTATAAAACCCATCACTTTTCATGAATGAAAAAGTACTTATTTATAGAACACTTGAAAAATACAGGAAAGCTCAACTAAGGGTAAGAGCAGATGGGCTTCAGACGGTAAAGAATCCACCTGCAATGTGGGAGACCTGGGTTCGATCCCTGGGTCGGGAAGATCCCCTGGAGGAGGGCATGACAACCCTCTCCGGTATTCTTGCCTGGAGAACCCCCATGGACAGAGGGGCCTGGTGGGCTGCAGTCCATGGGGTCACACAGAGGTGGACCCGGCTGAGTGACTAAGCACAGCACAGCACATCTAGAGATAAATATTGATAGCGTATTGGTATTGATTCTGTTTTTCTTAGGTGGGTCTGTGATAATCTGACTGCTCTGTGCATACATACTCAAAATCTAATTTGCTTATTTAACTAATAACCTCCTGTAGAACATCTCTCGTCACCATAAATATATACTTTTATGATGATTTTTAGCTGTGGAATACTCTAGCCTGTGGATATACCATACTTCATTAAACCAATCCCTTGTTAAGCATGTATGATGGTTTCTCCTCTTTGGTTACTATGTCACGCTATGATAAGCAGTTTTATGTATTCATTTTTGAGTGTATCAGCGACTTTTTTTTTTCCCTTTGAGTTCTTTCTAGAGGAGAAATTTCTAGATATAATGTATGTACATGTTGAAGTCTTTTGCTATGTCTGTTCCCATCCCTCCCTCATTCCCTAAGGCTGTTACTGTTCACAGATTTTTCCCAGTGTGTGGGAAACCTGTTTATTCCCCTCTTTGCCAACGCCTGGTACAGTCATCATTGTAGACCCTGCTCAGTTTCCAGTTTGGTTGTGAAACTGCCACGTTGTTGTCTCAGTCAACATTTCCTTGACTCTTAGACAGGCTGGAGATTTAGTCATTGGCCATTTTTGCTGTCTAGCCACCTGAATTCAGGAGCATCTGTCCTTTTCTGGCTGATTATTAAGTTCTCCTACTGGGTTTCCACCTACGTTTAGTTTGAGGAAAAGACATTGAGAATGACTTCGCTTGAAAAAATCCAGTTAAGAGAAATTCAGTTAGGAATTATTTTTTAAAGTGAATGACCACCATTGAAAAGTAAATCTGGACTTGCTCTCTGGGATCTGCTTCAATTCTGCCGCTTGCATATTGGTTTTGCCTTTGACTCCCAAGTAATTCTTTCTACATTTAGGAAAATCTTATAGCAGTTCCTAAACTCTAACATCTCGAAGAACAAATTTAAAACTAAACACTAGGTGAACTTACTCTGAGTGGACACCTGCATGAACGCATGCACTTTTCTTTCCCCACGAATTCATATGAAGGGTTGCTGTCCATTGCACTGGTCCTGGAAACACAGGTGACACCTTGATCTGTTCTTTTGTTTTCATGCCATCTGGAAAGCTAAGTCACTATAAAAAGTGTTAGCCACTCAGTTGTGTCCGACTCTTTGCAACCCCGTGGACTGTAGCCCACGAGACTCCTCGGTCCATGGAATTCTCCAGGCAAGAATACTGGAGTGGGTTGCCATTTCCTTCTCCAGGGGAATTTCCCAACCCAGGGATCGAAACAGGGTCTGAGGAATTGCAGGCAGACTCTTTACTGTCTGAGNAAAAAAAAAAAAAAAAAGAACTAAAAACCTTGCTGGAACATTCCCCAGGCCAGTTTTGCAGCACACCTGGTTTAGGTGAGAGGAAAAGACTAAAAATAAGATTTTCCTTGGGGTCTATACTTAGACTGCATATTTCAAGAGGGTAGGAATGAAGTCCAGGGATGATTCTCCTTTCCTCCAAAGTTTCTACCCCAGTGTTAGGTTGAGAATAGACAATCCATCAGTAATTATCCAACTGGATAATCAGTGTAGCATTCTGATGTCATCAAAATGGAACATAGGAAATGTGAAAACCAAATTGACTAGTGAAATGATTTTGTTAGGTCACAGAATGCACAGATGGGCTATGGATGGATCTCTGTCTGGAATGAAATGTGCGTTCCTATTTCATGCAAGCTCCAATTCCTCATTGTTACCAAGAAATTCATTACTATTCCATCGCTCTGCTGCCGTCACTAGTGAGTAACATTAGTCAGATCAGCATGTGCAGGACGAATCTAATTCCTTTGGTTCCAGGGTACGGCAAAATGCCTAGCAGGTGTTGATTTAGGAGGGAAGCGGGTAAGTGAAACAACTTGAATGTTTTTGTCTCGTTATCCAAGGTTTCAGAAATGAAGACAACATGATTCTGGCATGGGAAGGTGTCATGAAAGAAAATTACCTTGTCAAGATCAACACAAAGGCCAGCGACCCTTCAGAGGAGTACGTCAGCATTCATTCCTGCTTTGCAAGGCTCCCCTCATGTACGGAAGCTAGCAGATCACAGGCAGCTAATTTGAACAAACTGTGTAAAAAAAATTTGCACCAGAAAGCAGCAGCATAAGGCTCAGACAGCCAAAGGTGACAAACACAGAAGGTGTGTCAGCCTGCTAGGAAGGGCAAACCCTCCCCACCTGCTATCTGATGGGCCTCCTGATGGCAGGGAAGAAGGAGGTGTTGATATTTGGAACCTGCAAGGCAAGGCCATGGGACTAGGTGGCCAGAGCATGGGTCCCTGTGCCATGCTGCAGAGGTGAATTCTGGGAAGATCCACAGATCATGGGCAGCAGTCATCACCTCACAGGGTCCACACATGTATCTCTGCGAGGAAGAAACAGAGAGATTAGAAGATGGCAAAGCCCTTTGGTTGGTCTGTCACAGGCTGTTGTCCCTGGGAAGTCCTGAGCATCCTCTGTGAGGCACATGGGGTTGCCCAGAGAACTAGACACATCACTCATTCCATAGATGGTCCACGAAGAATGTGGGATGCAGGGCCTCCAGGAGCATGCCCTTTGAACTTAAAGTGGGGTTAATAGGGTTAATAGTCAAATGTAATTCTGAGAGCTCCAAGCACACCTCAGAATTCAGTCTAAGAAAGAGCAAACATAAGAACAACTACTCCCTTTGTTAGACTTAACACAGCTCTCGGGAGCACGGAACGTGAGGCGTGCTTTTTCTCTTCGAGCAACAAGGCAGAGGCCTCTATTCTCCTCCGTCCCTGGACTCAGAGGTCTTAGTTTTGGAAGAAAGGAATGGACCTTATGTGTCATCTTCCACCCCCCACCTACATCAACCAAGGTTGCATCAATTTGCTGTCCTTCCAACTGGGACAAGAGTACAATTCTGCTTTGGTTGGGTATTAGGAAGAAAGTAAAAATGATAAAAGCAGCTGATTTTAATTTAGTTGAAGATGAAAATGATCTGTATTTTGTTCTTTAAAATAACCCTTTTTTCTCTCTCCCTCTCTCTGTTCTCTCTCTTTTCAAACATCTTTGAAGAATAAGGCATCGTTTTAGACAGCTGGATACAAAGGTAGGGTCCTGTTTATAGTTTGGGAAATATTTTTTAAACTCTATTATCTTTGAGCTTTCAGCTAGAGGCCAGTGTCCAAAAATAAATGAAGTTAATTGTCTTGAAAAATGGATATGACCCTGTTCTGTGTTCAGTTGTCTTCATTCACTGTGTAAAGTCTGACTGCTGGAACAAAATTGCTTCTCAGATCTTCCTAGCCCACATGGGAATAGTCCTGAGTCCCATTTCTACAGCATCTGAAATTTCCCCTGCTTCTGTCTAACCTAAGACCCCATTTCTCTTTTTCTCTCAAGAGAAGGATGCTTGCAATGACAAGGAACACCAGACAGGCTCAGAAAAGCAGCTTGGGAGCCTGGGAGCCTCTATGCCAGTCTTTGTGGCCACTCTAATCTGTCACCTACTGAATTTGAATTACGAATTCACGAATACACACGTAAATGTCAAGCCTAGAGAGAGAATGGCCACCTCCACCCTGAGCTGGGCAGCTGGAAATTATGATTTGGTTCAGGAGAAGTGACAATCGATTCGTAAATACGTGCTCCCTGTTAGGCTCTGAGGAGGAGGTGGTATCTTATCGTGGCATTCTGAGGATGGGCCCTGGGCATTGCAGTCACATGTCACATTCGCTGCTCCCCCCCTTGCCGCCCCCAAGATGTGCTGTTTCACTGCTGACAATACCCCATCAGGAGTGGCAGGGTTTCCAGTACCCAGATCCCCTCCTATAGGAGGATCTCAAAAACATTGAATAAATGAACCAAAAGTGCTCTCTTCAGAGCTCTAACTGATGATTTATCCAGTCCAGAATTCCTTGCATATGTATTTCTGTACTAGTTATCAGCAGCATGTAAAACATCAGAGGCCATGTGTCCATGGGTCTCCCTTCCTGTGTTCTGGTCCCATGCAGGATGCTGACTGATGCCTAGAACCTTCCTACCTGTCCCTCCTGCCCCCACAGCTTGTCTCTTCCTTCATCTCCTTCCCTCCCCTGGAGTCTCCTGCTCCATACACTGGTGTCAACCACTCAGGATGATGAGTGTAGAATGTTTCTGTCACAATCAACTTTAGTTCCCTACACTTCAGGGATTTTAAACAACTGTCTTATTTCCCTCTCACTTTCCTGGATCAGGAGTTTGGGAAGGGACCAGCTGGGCAGTTCTTCTGCTTCTTGTGGTCTCAGCTGGGTTTACAGGGCTGGATTCAACTGGAACTAAGGCCAGGACCTGGCACCTTGGTGCTCCTCCTCATTGCTTTTGTCCCCACATGACCTCTGATCCACGTGGCTTGGGCATCTCGGGTCAGTTCCTTTTGTTCCATAGGGGCTGGCTTCCAAGGCTGAGGAAGTGCTCCCAAGGTGGGACCTGGACCTGGCATGACATTGAGTAAAGAAGCCCCAGGCCAACTGAGATCTAGCTGAGAGACGAGTCAACTCCACACGTCTATGCTCTACCCCTCAAGGTGGGAGTGACACGTAGACATGGAGAGACGTGACAGCTATCTTTGGAACCACACCATCACACAAGAGTATACCCTGTTTCAGCTGCTCTCCTTCTGATGTACTATTGCTGGTTTTTAATTGAGTGAATAGGAAGACCCCTAGTATGTTAAGGCTGTATATTGTCACTCTGCTTATTTAACTTCTATGCAGAGTACATTATGAGAAATGCCAGGCTGGAGGAAGCACAAACTGGAATCAAGATTGCCGGGAGAAATATCAATAACCACAGGTATGCAGATGACACCACTCTTATGGCAGAAAGTGAAGAGGAACTAAAGAGCCTCTTCATGAAAGTGAAAGAAGAGAGTGAAAAAGCTGGCTTAAAACTCAACATTCAGAAAACTAAGATCATGGCATCCAGTTCCATCACTTTATGGCAAATAGATGGGGAAACAATGGAAACAGTGACAGCTTTTATTTTCTTGGGCTCCAAAATCACTCCAGATGGTGAAGCAGTCATGAAATTAAAAGACACTTGCCCCTCAGAAGAAAAGCTATGACAAACCTAGATAGCACATTAAAAAGCAGAGACATTACTTTGCCAACAAAGGTCCGTCTAGACAAAGGTATTGTTTTTCCGATAGTCATGTATGAATGTGAGAAATGGACCACAAAGAAGGCTGAGGGCCAAAGAATTGATGGTTTTGAACTGTGGTGTTGGAGGAAACTCCCGCAAGTCCCTTGGACTGCAAGGAGATCCAACCAGTCCATCCTAAAGGAAATCAATCCTGAATATTCATTGGAGGGACTGATGCTGAAGCTGAAGCTCCAATACCTTGGCCACCTGATGTGAAGAGCTGACTCATTGGAAAAGTCCTTGATGCTGGGAAAGATCGAAGGTGGGAGGAGAAGGGAACGACAGAGGATGAGATGGTTGGATGGCATCACTGACTCAATGGACATGAGTTTGAGCAAACTCTGAGAGATGGTGAGGGACAGGAAAGCCTGGTGTGCTGTGGTCTGTGGGATTGCAAAGAGTAGGAGATGACTAAGCCTCTGAGCAAGGAAGACACCATTCGGCTAAGTGCCATCAAAGCAGACATGGCCCCCAAATTTCATGAATGGACCCTTTGTTGAATGTTTTGGGTGTGGGAGCATTTTCAAGCCAAATTACATAGGATTAAGTGGGAATAACACTTTGCAGTATCAGGCGTGTTTTCCAGATTGCCTGAGTCTACATTATCAGGGAACAAGGTCAGCAGCTGTGAAGACCCTAAGTCCAGAGAGGCATGGAATGTTCCTGATCGAGGGGGAACCCCGAGTGGGAAGAAGGGGGAAGCTGTGTCATCCTGTGAGGGAACTTGATGGCCTCCTTAGGGGTGGGGTTTATTCCCTCCCAAACCTCTGGGGACATATCTGGGACCCTTTCTTCAAAGAGCCCTCTGAGCAGTCAGGGTGGCCACATCAGAGGGGCTTAGACAGTCTGGCTTGGGAATAGAGGTACTAGGGATGTGTCCAGATGTGTGTCAGTGTGCAGAGAAAACAGGCTATTTTTGGTTCTTCTGTTGTTCTACTTGTTGGTCCACGTGAGGTGGCTTTGAAGGGAGTCAGTGGAAAGTGGACTTGGGGTTGAGCTCAACCTTCCGTGTGCCTTGCTGGGGGCCACTCAGAGCCTGGGCAGGATGGCAACACGAGGATGGAGCCGAGTGTGACAGATCAGAGGTCAGCCGGACATCCAGGCACTGGACCAGCTGAGCTGACTCCCAGGGTTCAGGGAGGCCTCCTAGTCCGTGAGCTTCTGGGAGGGTTGGGGAGGGTTGTGGGGGCGGTGGGCCTGAGCAGCGGGGGCTGCTGAGGGGTCCCAGATGGTCACAGTCACAGTTGGGGGCTGTCCACACATACCTGTGAGCCTGGGGTCTGTGGGGCCTTCAGGGCAGGGCCTTGGTCCAGGCCCCTTGGCGTCTCCCTGGTTGTGGGGCTCCTACAAGAAGCCCCCCACACGCTGCAGTTTGCAGGTTTTAGTAGAATTTAGGCAGAGCCCTGGGAAGCCTTAGACCATACAACACAGAGCCCTCGGCCTGCACCCACGGATTTCACTGGCTCTCTCCCCTCTTCCAGTCCTGCCGCCCTCTCTCCTTTTTATCTCCTCCCCCATCCTCTACACCTTCTCTCAACAACAAGTTTCTCCTTCGTATCCAAAGAGAATTTTAGGGCTGGCCACTTGTTTCTTTGAGCAAGCTCTTGATGTCTTAAACCATACTTAACAGTGTATTAAAGTCTTTTTACTGCAACAAATACAGAGATTTCCCCAAACCCTCCAGTAAAAAAAAAAAAAAAAATTCTCCATCTCATTCTTATACCAGAAAACAAAGTCATTCCTTGACCTTAAGTCTGTAAATAGGAATCTTACTATGACTTTATTTTAGGCAGCTCTTATGGTTTCTTTTTGTCCTTTTCTAAGAACAGTTAAATGATGAGGTTAATACTGGAAAGAAACCATAGTTAAACTGAGAGTTTTCCTTGAATGAGTGATTTATCAAGTTGGAAGCCAACTGTACAGAGATTGCGTTATGTCTATAGCTTTTATCAAGTGTAACAATATGGCTTGTAATTTGAAGTGATCTTTATCATCTTCATGTATCTTGTGTAAAAACTTGTGAAATATGCATGTATTGAAAATAATTTTATCATGCCTTTTACCTAAATTTGTTTTACTATTTATACTGTGTTTTTGGTGAGGGGAGACACTTTATTTGCAAAAACTTGATTAGTATTATATTATTTTCAATTAGTGTTATGCTTTTATCAAAGCAAAGCTTTATTGATACCTTATCATTTATTGGTATTAGTTACATATAACATTATGATTTATATGTATAAATTATATTTGTGTAAATTATATATGTGTAAATTATATATATATATATAGGTTATATATTATTTCTGTGTTGTTAAAAATCTATCATTCCTATGTGGAATCAGTAGTGATTAAGATTTGTGCTTCCCTGACGACTCAGCTGTAAAGAATCTGCCTGTAATTCAGGAGACACAGGTTCGATCCCTGGGTTGGGAAGATCCCCTGGAGAAGGGAATGGCAACCCACTCCAGTATTCTTGCCCGGAGAATCCCACAGACAGAGAAAGAAGCCTGGTGGGCTACAGGCCATGGGGTCGCAAAGGAGTTGGGCGTAACTTAGCGACTAAACAACAGCAGTAGCAAAAACTAATCCTAATCGGTGCTCATGACTATTTGCTAGTGATTTGGTTTCAGAAGCCTGTAGTGAACAAGCTCTGAAATATCACCTGTCTGATATTCTGCCGTATTCCAGGCATGGGCCATACTTCTTATTTCATGTATAGTTAATCTATTTCATGGAAAGGCCTTAGAGTCATGATTTAAAATTCAAGTTGGAAAATTGATCTTAAGACCAGTTCTGTTTTTCCCCTTTCTAAGCTTAATGACCTCAAAGGTATTCTGAAAGAGATTGTTAACAAAATCAAATAAAACCGCATGGACTCTGATGGAGAAAAATTTAATTCTAGCAAGGTAAGTCATTTTAATAGCTTTCTTCTTTTTTTGCTCTGAAATATACATATTTTGAGACTAATTCAAGATCATGATATTTTCTGTTATTTTGTTTTCACATGTGATCAAATTTGCAAAATAACGATGGTGTAAAAAAATCAATCAAGGGATATAGAAAGGATACAGGTGGAAACCCACCTCCCGTAACTCCCCCTCACGCCCCCAGTGCAAGACTATTCCCTGGTCCAAGATGACCACTAGTAGCATCTTTTTGAATCTTTTTTTTCAAAACTTGCAAATTATATAGCTATTTTGACATTAATTGAATCAAGGTCAGACTGTTCTAAGACTTGGCAATTTTTTCTTACTTAACTCTAGATCATGAGGGTCTTTACAGATCTGTGCTTCAAATGTGTACCTCATTCTTATGACGCATCATTGATGATTTTTGCTGTTAGGGGATACACAAAGTGTGGGTCTTCTGGTTGGTTTGTTTTATTTTCTCTCAACAAATGAATGTTGATCACATCTTACTACCAAAAATGTTTTAGTAAAGATTTTAAGACTTTGGGGGCTTCCCTGATAGTTCAGACAGTAAAGAATCTCCCTGCAATGTTGGGAGACCCCTGGGTCAGGAAGATGCCCTGGAGAAGGGAATGGCTACCCATTCCAGGATTCTTCCCTGGAGAATTCCATGGATAGAGGAGCCTGGCAGGTTACAGTCCATGGGATCACAGAGTTGACTGAGCCACTAATGCTTTCTTTCACTTGCAAGGTTTTTAGCAATAGCTCATTCGCACAATAAAAATGTAATTCAGTTAACTGGCAAAATTGAGCCCAAGGCTTTGTACCATGATCTGAGCATTTACTTTAATTAAGTTTTCTCATTACCTGTCCAAATGCTCAAACCAAATGTTAAAAATGTTGTTAGGGAGTTGTAGAGCTAGGAGGAATCAGCTATGAGCATTCCATTTGATTAGAAATTTTTTAAGGAAGTGAATTGCACGGAATGGAAACACAATTAAGGCTCACTCCCACCTTCCCTCTTTCCCTTCCTGTTTACTGAGCACCTTCTAAGTGCCAAGGCTCAGACCCTGATTTCCACCTTTGCATAAATCCTCTCACAGCAGAATTTCTGTTCACAGAGTGGCTGTGTTATAGGGGTAACTGGATTTGCTGTATCTGGTCACTCAACACTTTTCCTTGGATTCTGACAATTACATATCATATTCTAAGCCCTCTATCCTGGAATATTTTGTAAGGGCAAGATTGGCACATATTTTATTTGTATATTTATTTTGTGTGAAGGCAGGCATGGCCCCACAAGTTGCTCAAGAAAACAAACCTTGAATATTTAGGAAGAATGCATTTCAACTCTTCCATCATGGTGCTTCATGAACACAATATTATACTTTACAATAAATTATAATTTGAGTTTTGAAGCATTTGTTACTTTATGAGCTGAGTCATAGAAAAAACAAGGAAAAAAAATTAGGAAGTGATGAAACAATTTAAAATGATTTAAAAACCCATAGAGGTGTAGTAATCAGAATAGATGTACTCATCCACCTCTTAAAGATCTAATCTCATCTCTCTTTTTTTTCCAAGAGTGTTGACTATGAGGAAAATGAGCACAGAGACTGGTTTCTTAGCAGCCTGCTCTTTGCTTAGACTTAATTTTTTTTAATGTAAGGAGAG